CTCTTTCACTCTCTCATCCTCTCACTCAAATGTCTGTGTGTGTGTATGTGTGTGTGTGTATGTATGACATTCATTCTGTATAGCATCACTTTGTTAAAGGGCTACTTCAACCAAAAATTAATGTTCTGCCTTCGCTGACTCAATCTCATGTCATTCCAAACCTGTATGGGTTTCTTTCTGTAGAACATAAAAGCAGAGTTTCTGAAGAATATCCTGGCTGCTCTTTTCAATTTATGAAAGTGAAGAAGACAGGGGCTCTTAAGCTCCAAAATGCCAAAAATGCACCGTAAAACAACTTACAAGCAGTATGAATTGTGCATTACATTGCAAGTTTTCTGACTAATTTTAAGTCTGTATTCTCTGAAAAGCTTGATATTTACCCATGCTTTCCTTGGAATAAGAATATACGAGAGAAGTAGTGATGCTCAATTCATTAATGAATAATGAATTTGAATCAGATTCTTGTCAATGAATCCAGTTCATAAAACAGTCCGCATGATTTGTTCACAAAATGGACTGATTTCAACTCACTGATTCAATGATTCATTCACAAAGATCAATCATTTACAATGGTACACTCTTAAAAATAAAGGTTCTTTATTGGCATCAATGGTTCCATGAAGAACCTTGAACATCCATGGAAACTTTCAAATGCAGAAAAAGTTTTTTGTAAGTGGAAAAAGATTCTTTAGATTTTTGAAATGCTCTTCAAAATGGTTCATTTAAGAACCGTTAACTGAAAGGTTCTTTGGGGAACCAAAACTGGTTCTTCTATGGCATCAATGCACAAACACCTTTTTGGAGCCTTTATTTTTAAGAATGTATTGTATGACTTCAGAAATCCTCATAGTCATATGGACTACTTTATGGTACTTCTGCATCCTTTTTGAAGCTTGAAGCCGATTCACTGTAACTGCATGGAATAAAGCGTCCAGTACATTATGCTAAATTACTCTTTTTATGATGCTCAGAACACAAACAGATTTGGAATGACACAGTGCTGAGAGAATAATTCATAAATTTTTGGGTGAACCATTGAAACCTCATGCATAAGTCTACATACATTATAACATATTACACCTTTAAACTGATCACATGCTTTTAATGCATTTTACATTTAAAAGGCATAGCAAGAATAAGAATGTATTATAATTATTTGTAATAATGCATTTTCTAGTTATTTGAGAACTTAAAACATTACAAAACATTATAAAACAACGTGTATTAAAAGGCATTAAAAATGCAAATAATTCACAAATATGTGACTTTCGGGTCAAAACTACTGAAAAACAGATTATTACCACACAAACATGGCTTATGTATCAATACATTGAATAATCAGGAGTTCTGTCCAAATTTCTGTCCTCTCGAGGTCTCTACGTAAAGCGTAATTCAATAGATCACAGGAAACCGTATCTGCTACAGTAATTCAGGCTGGATCAACTGACCATGAATTTCTGCCTGCCAATTACAGTCTGTACACAACACCTTTCAAGAGCCGTTTTAGAGGCAAAAACAAAAAAAGTACTCACGGATCCCGGCGAAAGTGCAGTTTTTTCCTGAGCGTGGACACCCGTGGGTGACAGCCCAGTTTGACGGGTGAGGTGCATGATAAAGTCCTGCTCTGAACCATGATGCTCTAAACTCATGTAGAACTGCACACGGTTCACACACACCCTAGCGGGATGAGGACTCCTCATTACTGAACTCACTTCACCCCCTCCTCTCCTCTCCTCTCCCTCGCTCTCTCTCTCTTTCTCTGCGCGGGCCGTGTCTTGTCCTGCGGTGACCTAGATCCTGCGCTTTCTCAGTGTGTGTGCTGTGGATCAGTACAGCTTGTATCCTCACCTGAGGTGTGCCAGTGGTGAGACCACCAGCAGAGAATGCATATAAATATATAAAAACCATAGAAACACAGATAAGCTGAGTACATTTGGCTGTTGATTCGGATGAACCTGAATCAAATTGGCAAGTAGGATGCAGAATTGTAATTCAAATTGTAGGAAGTAAAATTCAAACAATATGATATTTAAGTAGTTTATAGGGTTTGGTTAATTAGGTTTTGACTATCTTTTGAATTTTTTACTAAATTTTCCTTGTCTTTTCCGATTAATGGGGGGGGGCACATTGTATAGAGACTGCACGTAAAACAGCTTCAAGGCAATTAAATATTCGACTAATAAACTAGCAACAACAACAAAAAGTACATTGTACATTCACTACAGAAATTTCCAAGAAGTAATAAGAGTTGTTTTTCATAACCAGGCCTGGAAATCACAAATTCCCTGATATTTCTGATACACATACTGGGGCATTTCCAGAAACATTTGATGAAATTACTGTACATAATTAGCATCTTAAATGTAATATCTATGGAAATTTGTGTTTAATTCACATATACTGAATTGCATTATATGAATTATTTTTAATTTATAAATAATACATTTTTACTAGTGCTGTCAAACGATTAATCTCGATTTTAAATAATATATGTGTGTGTACTGTGTATATTTATTATGTATATATAAATACACACCCATGCATGTATACATTTAAGAAAATATGTTATGTTTATATATTAAATATATTTATATATAATTAAATTATATGTATATAAATTTATACATGTAAATATATGTAAATATTTTCAAAATATATATTGTATGTGTGTGCATTTGTATATACATAATAAATATACACAGCACACACACATATATTATGTAAACAAAAACTTTTATTTTGGATGCAATTAATCGCAAGTAATCATTTGACAGCACTAATTTTTACTAAATTAATTGTATTACATTAATAATATTAACACACTAATTGAAAATAAATATTGTCAACATTTATTTCTATAGGCAGTGAAAACCATGTGAGCAAATTTTAATTCTGTTAATTATTGATGTACTGTAAACAGTATTTACAGTTTTATAGTTCAAATCAGAAATAATGTATATTCCATGAAAAAAATTAATGACATAATTCATGTCTTGTCTTAAAACACTTGCAAATTCAAATTTGAATTCAATATTCTGGCTAATTCAATTAAAAATTCATACTGGCAAACTAAAAGGGAGCCTGCACTGTATGCATGTGTGTAAATGAGAGTTGAGGGACTTTGCTGTGATCACTTCAGCCTAATGGGACACAAACAGACTGAACACTCATCACCTTTAATGAGCATTAGCTGCTTTTACGTCACAACACAAAACTGATTTAAAAATAAGCTCAGGAATCAGCTGAAATCAGGTTGCTGAGTGCACAAAAATGAGCTGCTGGCGACTGCGTGCATACTGACTTTAACACACTGACTTTAGCAGGTGTTGAGATGCACACACACTTCTGCACAAACACACAAATGACCTCTTTTCAGACAAACACATGGAATAATGCTCATGAATGTTAATAGCAACAATACACAAAATCAATTAATGTACAAGCAGTGATGTTCATGAGACACATTTCATAAATACAGAAGAAAGAACACAGTGTTCCAAGAGGTCCAATAAAAGCACCAACGAACAAGCGCCTGAAGCCTGGAGATGAAAAAACGCTCATATGATATTCCAGACGAGGATTGGCGTGTTCTCTGACCAGCTGGGCTCAACAAGAACATTTGAGGGCAGCTAAAAATCTGAGCTTTCACTACAAAACTTGCTTAGCTGATTCAAAATGTGTCGCACCTGGTTTAGCTCATGATATTTCTGAGATGATGACAAAATATTTGGTCTCAGAAGAAGCAATGGGCTGTTCTACAGGTCTACTGTCACATGAAAGTGAAACACACAAGAGTTGTTTTTGAGATGGCACAATACAGACAGTGAGATCTGTGGTCAGATTCAAAACCAGACAACAGATGCAGAACTTGACACGGAAAAAAGAACAACTTCATAAGCAAAGCATGAACCACCAAAAACAGATACTTCTCAACCACTCTAGAGAAGCGACACTGAGACTAAAACCAGCTGCCAGCAGCAGGAAGTTCACATCATGTCAACATTTTCAGCATCTGCTGAAATGGCAAAGATTGAAATGAGAAAATAAAAAATGCCAAGTGACAGAGGCTGAATCCCTGAATTCGCAAACTGTGTCACATAAAACACACCAGATTAGTATATTTCCACCTCAGAGTAAAAGATAAAAAGAGGAAATTAAATATTAAATAAAATAACATTATGGGATATAACACTAAGATAAATTGTCAAAAGTTGCATTGTATTAATTAAACTGATAAACTTGCAATGGACCCTTTTTACAGATTGTAATGACATCACAAACATAATAAAGCATTTCATATTTAAATTTTTTTTTAAACATTTAAAGGGGTCATATGATGTTGCTAAAAAGAACATTATTTTGTGTATTTGGGGAGGGAGTCATGGCAAATGTGACATCTTTCTCTCTTCTAACCACAGCAATCAATCTCTTAATTTATTTATTTTTAATCTTTTGGAAAATCATATAAATGCTATTGTGGAATTTTTTTCTTTTGCTATTGGAGCAAATGGGAATGCAAAAAACATTTGTGGTAGTTTCCATTCACCACTACAGAAGTTCACCCAACTATGACAACTTCCTGAAAAGGGTCCATAATGAGAAATAAGGTAGCAATTATAAGAAGTAAAATCAAAATGACCTTTTTAGGTTTCTTGATTTTTAGGCAGAATCAGGCTATCATAAAAAGTACATTTACAGTACACTGAAAGCAGTACATCAAGAGTGTGCAGATTAAATTCTTTTTAAGGAAATATCACATACAATACATATTTTCCCATCACAAGTGAATAGTTATAAGCATACAAATTCAGCCAGATTCAACCAGAGCTGACCAACCACTGACCCCTGTTTGACCCATAAGGAAACTACGGTGAGAGCAGCATAATGCATAAATATAAGATGAGTGAGATAAATGCCTCAATTAATCAGCTTCCAGGTACTTTAACATGTAAAACCCACTGATAATGACAATGACATCCAAAGCAGCTCAGAGTGTGTACCTGTCGTCACGGGTGTTGGGGCTCAGGTAGCGCGTGGACTCTTCCTCGTGGCTGCTCTGCAGGCTGCTCTGCTGACTGCTGTAACACAGAGCGTCACATTACAATCACAACATAACAAATACACACATACACACCAGATGTCCACTCATACTGAGAATGAGACAACAGAAGGTGAGTTTGGACACACAGTGATGTCTTTTAATTACAGTAACAAAAAAAAACCAAGATCAACACACAATGTGCATATAGTTTGACAGTTTAGTGTTTCTCGGTTTACAAACTTCCATCAAGTGTCTTAAACAGACATTTTAAGGATACCATTTAATCTTTTCCACTAGAGGACAGCAGAGAGTGTCCTATTTGACAAGAGTGTTATAAAACTGAAACAACACAACAATACATGCATTCAACCAGTTAACATTGACATGATTATCATGTACAGTGTGCAAAGTACACTTAAGAAAATAAATGATAGAAAAACATCCTGTGCATTCAACCACAGAAGCGGTTCCCTGACAGCTTACAGTACACAGCTGATAGCTGATTCATGCCAAACATCTAACCTTAAATTCCCTGTACACTACCAGTTAAAAGTTTACACACATCTACTCATTCTGTATTAGAAGTATTTTCCACATTTTAGAATGATAGTAAAGTCATGCAATTTCTGAAATGACAAACTTAAGTATGAGAATTATGCAGTGATCAAACAAAACACTTTAAAAAAAAATAAAAATAAATACTTTTATTCAAGGATGCATTAAATAGATCAAAAGTGACAGTAAAGACTTTTAAAGCAAGCAAACTTTCTTTTCAACAAATAATTCTAAAAAAAGGTTTCCACAAAAACATTAAGCAGCACAACTGCTTTCAACATTGATAATAATAAAACATGTTTCTTGAGCACCAAAAAAAAGCATATTAGAATGATTTCCTTGGTGAGCAGAAGGGACTTCTTTCAAAAAACAATGGGGATGCAATGGATGCAAAAAAAAAATCATACACTTGATTGAGGAGGATAATCTTTTATTCTGTAAGAGTTCCAGCTATTTCTATTTAATAAATTAATAGTTTATAAATAATCAAGATCATAAATCAGAAATTCAGTCAAGTGTGTCCATACTTTTGACTGGTAGTGTACTTCAAGTCTAATTTCAGCTATTGTTAAGGCTGCTTGAAGTAAATGTTTAGGTCATAGCAGAAAAGTATATACTGCATGTAGTATTTTTGTCTATTAAAAAAATGTTTGTCTATGAGCGAGAGTCATGAATATTTAAGACGTCCCAGAGAAACTCCTGTCAGCATTCCTGGCAGCAGCAGGCGGCCGCTTGTTCTTCCCTCCAGCCTATAAATGTCACAGCAGAGACTTCAGTCCCTCCAGAGAAAACGGGGAAAAACACACTCACGCACACACAAACACAAATGTTTTCTGCTACGGCTAATGTACCAGAGCAAGCTCACATGAAGACTCAAAATTAAGTGGTGCACATTAATCATGATGGACAGCGGGAATGGAGAATGGATGATGTTTGTGTGCTGAGATCAGGCAGTGCAGGAGGGTTCGGTCTCGTGCTCATACAGACCTGCTCTCACTGCCGTGCTCTTTTTTCTCGCCTCCTCTTAGCCACTTGCGCAGGAGGAAGCGTCTGCGTTGGGGCGAGGCGCTGGGGGTGGAACAACTCGACCACGCTGCATCCTCGTCGCTGGATGGCGTGATCTCAATGGACGGAAGCTGTAGGTACTCCTTACTCCCGGAACGCTGAAGTTGTTCCTTCTCCAGTTGCTCCTTCTCGCTCATGACGTTCTTCATACGGTGCATTTTAAAGCGCTTGCGCCGCAGAGACGGGCTGGACGAGCTGGACAGGGCCGGATTCACATCGCATCCGTTGCACTCCCCGTCTACCGGGCCCTGGATCTGCAGCGCGGGCAGCTGGAGGGTCTCTGACATGGTTCTGCTTCTGCTCAGTCTTACATGAGTCCAGAACCAAGTACAGATGCAGACCAAAGAGCTCAGCGAGTCCACACCTGGGCTGAGCTAAGTTCAGTACTTCCTGTGAGATGGCTCAGTGCTGACATGTTGGGACTTATAGAAGATTTCCTTTAAAAACCTTTTGTCCAGAAATCCAGCATAGCTCCCTAGAGGTCAGAGGAAGGCCATAGGATCTACTAGGTTAGCAGTTCTCAAACACTGGAAAATTGCAATAATTAAAAACATAAAATGTATGTTTAATTTTAAATTGATTTATTTAGATTAATATTTTATGTTTAAAGTTTTTTATTTTTATTTTTTAATAAAGATTTGTGCATTTAAGAGTTTATTAACACACATTATTACTTTAAGATTGGCTGAAGTGCATAAATAATGTATTTGAAAATTGATAGTTTTGATTTAATCCGGTGTGTTTGAGAACCACTGTTCTAGGTGGACAGAGCATACACATAATCATCTACACAAAACACTAGGACTTTACAGAAAAGACTACACAGAAAGGACAACATGCAAAGCAAATCAGACACTATTAGGTAGCAAAAATGACATGTTTTGCTCCCTCACACACATGCTCTTTCCTGCTCTGCTCTGGAGTATTACTGAAAAACCATTGTGAAATTAACATACATTTGTGAAATATATATATATATATATATATATATATATATAAACATTTCTTATTATCATTTCCTGATGTGTAGGTTGAAAAGTGAAAGTAATAAATTGGACGCAAGTTCGTTGCATTCTGACAGAAAAGAACTCTGTGTCTTTATTTAAAATCAATAATTATTTCCTGCAATGCAGAGCCTCAGGCAAACATGGAAATCCAATTATTTATAATTATAATTATCAAAGTTGAAAAGCTTTTGCTGCTTAATATTTTTGTGAAAACAGTGATACACCACTATTTAAAAAGTAAGACTTAAAATAATAATAATAAAGAAATTTATATTTTTATTCATCAAGGACAGGTTAAATCGATCAAAAGTGACAGTAAAGTCATGTATAATGTTACAAAAGATTTCTATTTCAAATAAATGTTGTTCTTTTTCATTTTTTTATTCATCAAAGAAAGCTAAAAAAATATATCACAAAAAATATTAATCAGCAAAAACTCAACATCAATAATAAGAACCACTGGTAATAACTGGGAAACAATAGTAACTGATAATAAGTGATCACCAAGTTAGAATATAAGAATGATTTCTGAAGGATCATTTGAAAGCAAAGACTATAATTATCACAGGAATAAATTACATTTAATATTATATTAAAATAGAAAATTATTCTTTTTAAATTGTAATAATATTTTACAGTAGGCTATTATTATTTTTATTTTTGATCAAATAAATAAACCAATGGTGAGCATAAGGGACTTCTTTCAAAAACATTTAAGAAATCCTAATTATTCCAAACCGGTAGTGCATATTTATGTATTTTGTTTCTTCCCCTGAAATCCACAAAGTTACAAAAAAAAAAAGCTTTTGTCACTGTGGAGGAAGTTTTGAGTTCTGTCAGTTACAGTATGTTTTCATAGTACAACTATTCTTATCTGAAAAAATCTAGGAAGCTTGATTCCTCAGGATATGACCCAAATTTAAAAAATTTAGAGTCAGTCATGCGTGCCAGTGTTAATATAACAGGCATCATGTAGCGCTGCACTTTAGGCGTGTATAAGGAAGTCAGGCGTAAACATGCCAGCGAGTTCATCTTACAGCAGGAAGTGCACTAAGCCGCAGCCCACTGAGAGCAGACACACTCACGGGCTGCCCATCTGGCTGCTCAACACATCACACAATCTGCTGACTGACCCCTACGGCAGGTTAGAAACCTGCCACACACTGTTAGATCACTCCTGTTACTGCTCCACTGGAGATGTCCTCGGCAGTAAATGCCAAATATATGAGTTCTGCATTCTTAGACTTCTTAGATTATATACAAAACAAATCCTACCATGTTCCCCACGTGAGGAGCTCCGGAAGGTGCACACCGTACCACACTGCGTAACCTGTACAGTACATATCTGACTTTTAACTTCCTGTAAGGAAGGCTCTAAAATGATGCCAATAACTTTTTTCCCTTATTTAAGAAGCCACAATGCATTAAAAATGCATATAAATCACATTTTGGTGTGAAATGTATTATATTTTATGACTGTATCTATGGCTGTCTTCACTTATAAAATGTACCATGGCACTACCAAGGGTTTTTGGACCTGGTACAATAGTAATACCTTGGGCATTTCATGTAAAAATGTGGTACACGAATTAGTTCTGCATTCTTAGACTTCTTAGATTATATACAAAACAAATCCTACCATGTTCCCCACGTGAGGAGCTCCGGAAGGTGCACACCCGTACCACACTGCGTAACCTGTACAGTACATATCTGACTTTTAACTTCCTGTAAGAAAGGCTCTAAAATGATGCCATTAACTTTTTTCCCTTATTTAAGAAGCCACAATGCATTAAAAATGCATATAAATCACATTTTGGTGTGAAATGTATTATATTTTATGACTGTATCTATGGCTGTCTTCACTTATAAAATGTACCATGGCACTACCAAGGGTTTTTGGACCTGGTACAATAGTAATACCTTGGGCATTTCATGTAAAAATGTGGTACACGAATTTCAGTGCCATAACTTATATCAAATTAACATGGTATTATGAAAGTACCATAGCACTACAATCTGTTACCATCATTGTACCTTAGTACTGCCACAGTACTTTTTGTAAGACTTGTTATGTGTCATTATTTATGATGACACATTTGATAGGCTACTCAAGAAACCAAGTCATAAGCACTATAGAGAGAGACTGTATCAGAAAGCAAAGTTTAAAAGTCATTCTGCAATACCAAAGTGCACAACAATATTTCCTGTAAAATATGCTATACTTTATTGTTTTAAGTGGAAAAAATTACGATTTCAAATTCTCTTTAAAATGGTATATTGATCTGTAAACAATCCTTAACGGTACAAATAAAAAGTTGAAAACATGCACTAAACAGAAATGAGGAAAATCTTACCTTTTACATCTCAAACAACTACAACCTTCGTTTTTAATATGCAGTCGTTGTCTTTACGTTTTAGATAGCCGGAATGAATGAGAAACTGTTACGGCGTTTATTCCCACACTGTTCCGTTATGATCTTCACGTTTCTTTTTCCCCGGACAAATCCACTCAGATTGAAGGGGAGAGTTGTCACGCAGAAACAAATTAAATGTTGTTTTACAGAACAACGTGAACTGGGTTTGTTATAAGCGAAATAAAAGCAATAAGACTTGTGATTAAAATATTTGTGAGGTAAAAAAACAAAACAAAACAAAACAAAAACGATCTGATGTGTAATATACGCAGATTGAGCTCTGCCAATCTCCCCTCTCTCTGAGACTGAGGCGCCCCGGATCTCTCATCATAAAAACAGCCGGTACAGTACAGGCTCATCGTTCAAAAGAGGTTGCCTTGACGCCCGCAGCAGTCAAGAGAAACATATTAACGCAAAATATGCGACAATTATACTGTCGTGCTTGTCTAAAGAAACGAACTTCCTTCTCAAAACGAACTACTTTTAACGTTGAAACGTCGTTCATTGTTCGCTGGAAACACGAGTCAGAATGTTCAACTTACTGAGGTAAAATCTAGTAGGCCTACACCTTGACAGCAGTAAATACGTCTGAGAAATGTACAACCATAATGACGAAAAAATATGACAAACACATTTTTTTTTGCCGGAAATACTCGTCAAGAACGTACTACAGCCATTTAAAACTGAGGTAAAAAATGAGAAGTACCGTTACATCTTGACAGCCAGAAATACTTCTAAAAATGTACCACCCAAAAGCGTGCTTAGCACACATCTTGCCAGCGGGAAATGCCAATCAAAATGTACAACCACCTTCATTACTGAAGTAAAATCATAAAAGCACATCCTCACAGCAGGAGATACTGTACAACCATCTATAACTAAGGTAAAAAACCTCTTGCATATCTTGCATGACAGAAAAAATTCCAGCACTAATGGGTAATCCATCTTGTTATTTTAACCTAATCTTCATTCAGTAACATTATCTAATTTTCTGCCCTATTTAATTTTATGCAAATGAAGACTAAAGTACAGTTCATTAAAGAAATTACACATGACTAAGGTCTATTAATCAAGATAGCTCAATGTTATTTGATTCAGACATAATATGTGGAACTTCACAGTACATAAAAAGATGACAAATACTTCCTACCATCAGTTATGAGTTTTGAAGTTTTTCATATTGTCATCATTTATGAGCTACACAAAATCTTAAAAAAAAACACACACCAGCAAATCTAACATCATTCCCAAGAGTGTCAATAGATCCTGCTTCTTTTCATTATATTGTTTACTCTGTTGCACTACAAGTCTTTGACTTATACTTCTAAAAATGTACCACCCAAAAGCGTGGTTAGCACACATCTTGCCAGCGGGAAATGCCAATCAAAATGTACAACCACCTTCATCACTGAAGTAAAATCATAAAAGCACATCCTCACAGCAGGAGATACTGTACAACCATCTATAACTAAGGTAAAAAACCTCTTGCATATCTTGCATGACAGAAAAAATTCCAGCACTAATGGGTAATCCATCTTGTTATTTTAACCTAATCTTCATTCAGTAACATTATCTAATTTTCTGCCCTATTTAATTTTATGCAAATGAAGACTAAAGTACAGTTCATTAAAGAAATTACACATGACTAAGGTCTATTAATCAAGATAGCTCAATGTTATTTGATTCAGACATAATATGTGGAACTTCACAGTACATAAAAAGATGACAAATACTTCCTACCATCAGTTATGAGTTTTGAAGTTTTTCATATTGTCATCATTTATGAGCTACACAAAATCTTAAAAAAAAAACACACACCAGCAAATCTAACATCATTCCCAAGAGTGTCAATAGATCCTGCTTCTTTTCATTATATTGTTTACTCTGTTGCACTACAAGTCTTTGACTTATTTATAGTATGCCAATATTTTCTAACAAACTCTTAGTAATGTGCTTCAAAGCTTTATCTTTGGGGAGTCTCTTTAACTGGCTGAGGAACATCATGCCACAGGATGCTGGATTTATTTGGCAGATGGCTGCTTCAGTCTG